AATGTTTTGGTATTCCTTGGTTTAAGCAACCCACCTCAAGACTATAGCGAAGAAGGGTGAACCTGTAACTCTCTTTCAATGGAGACGAGTGGGATGATAGGTGAAACGCTTAGTAGAACAGTTCAACTGACCTACAGCTACTATTTTGTTGCCTGTTATCCAGTCGGATCCTGAAAACACTACTGAGACAAGACTCCCAACAGTTACAGGAGTCGAAGAAACTACACGGAGTCTGAAAAAAAAGAAGTAGGGCCAGACGGATTAAAACCAGAGGTTTTTGGGGACCATGGTAGAGAATTAATGTTAATACGTTCATTATTCCCATTGTGACATCAAAAACTAGATATTCAGCAAAGAGGACTCTTTTCAACGAATCTATTCTCAAGCTGCATATTCGTACATATATGATATTTAAAGACTGTAATCCGTGAGGAAGATTTAACTGAAATAATGGGGGGTTGAAACAATAATAATTATCAACACCATAATTATTCTTAAAACTAACTGAAGTGATAGGTTGAAAATTGGAGTCAGGGATGAACCCCTCTAACTGGCCGCAATCAGTGATTGTTTCAGTCTTCAAGAAAGGCAAGGAGTCTGATCGTGGTGACCATATGGAAATCAGCCTGACAAGAATGGTGTTCAGGATTTTAGGCTCTGTGATCATGCGTGTCAGTGGGGCTAGGGAACAACGAACCCAGGAAAACCAGGCTGGCTTCAGACTAGGCCATCACTTTATCGACCAGATATTCATCTTTCACCAGGTTTCGCGACACAAGAACACTTACTGATGCCCAACACTTCCTTTATTCCCCGATCTAAATGTGGCATCTGACTTCGTCTATCCATAGGTTTCATAGGGATTTCTTTCATTGAAAGAGGTTCTGAGTAAGTATATCACTCTTTTGAAGACGGTTTACCCAAACACATATAAGCGTGTTAGAACCTGAAGCGAGTTGTCATGCGGACTGTGTATGTCGAGTGGTGTCCATCAAGGATGTTCACTCTCTTCACTGATATTCAACTTTATCATAAAGGTACTCATGGAAGTTTCCCTTCGATGTCCGACTTTATAGGGATTGTTCTCATCACAGGAGAATCCTTAGTAAATTTAGAGCAAGTAGACAACATATTCCTGTTATGTAAAGACACTGAAAAGATGCAGAATTTTCTGGACACCTTAAGTTATAATTTGAGAATATTTTGGATGCGCTTCTGATCACACAAACGCATATCCTTGCCTAAGGATTGGTATTCAGCCCTACCCTGTCTAACAAGAGAGTGATGATGACCTCCTACCACCGACTATTCCTTTAATATAAGTGTAAAACTTGGGCACTGTGGGCGAGTGTAATTCCATTTTAGTCTGTTTATTAGAAATATCACACAGTGAAACAGTAGCATTTACTGGATAACGTTTCGGACATAATTTATTGTCCATATTCAACTTCGAGACAGTCTTTATATATTCCTAATTTTCTCTCCTTCTCTATGATGACAAGGGTAGTAGAATTTTCCATATATCTGGGACAGGTGCAGCATCATTTCGATTGTATGTGTTTGGTTTTGATACGATAAACAAAGATTCGGTTATCAATCTCTCCCTCCACCCAACTAAGTCAGTTTTCAACACTGTCACCCTATCCCACCCTACTGTGTGATTGTGTGTCATCGCATGCAGAGCTATAGCCGTTTTTCTATAGATTTCTTATCGTATTAGGATCTACTTATCTTGATTTAACCAAGTTTTTGTGCTCTGTTATTCTAATCGACCCTGGTCGACTGCTTTGACCTATTTACTTGACCTCGCAATCATTGCAAGGGATCTGGTAAACCAGATTATTTTGCTTAAATTGCATCGATAGGACCTTTTAACCTACAAAGCTTGTTTCTAAGTGAGTTTGTTGGTTTGAATGCCACTTTAATCCTAGCCTTCTTTATTCCTCTATCTTTCACTTTATTGGTTTTCTGGTTAGTATGCTGACATGAGGTGTAGCAACTTGAACCGCTTCTCAGTAGTCTCAAGTGCTATATCTATATTATCTGTCTGTATGCAGATTCAGCTCATCAGCTGCATATTCTTTCACCCTAGTAAGATAATAATATCTCAATTTCAACTCCTTCCTTGAAAGTAAATAGATGCTTTTAGGCTAAAACTTTATATCTCTGTTAGTTAACCTGATGGATAACACTATGGAAACATTACTGCTTCGAGAATACCATTTAAAGCGTAACCGGTGGAACCGTAGAACAGCATGTAGTACATGTGTCACACTGATTAAGAGTAAGAAGTTTTTGAATGATGAAATTGATAAATATAAACTTCAAAATGTTTATTTTGTAAATGGATTATGTAGTACTAATTTCATACTACTGTGTGACGAATATGTTTGTTATTAACGGGGTATAATTATTGGTAACGCTGAAGCTGAATATAAATTTTTTTTAATAATTGTCGGTTTGCATACAGACTTGTAATTTTAATTATTAGCTTAGGCTGATCTGATACAGCATACGCTACTAGATAAATACATTTGTTTACAGTCAAAAACATCATCAGTTTGTCAAGTTGTATTTAAAAGACAACTGCCTGTCTTGCCTAATATTGAATGAACGAAACTACTTAGAATCGTTATGGCTAGTTAACCTAAAAACAGAACTTTTATCTGAAAAATTATGAATTAGTTGAACAGGAATGCTAGAATGAACTAAAGCTGTTCACCAGATAATAAATGGATGACAGTTAAATCTGTTTTAAATAGTACTGGTGATTTAACCACTCGATAGCAACCCATTATCCATGAATGCAGAATTCCATGAGAGCTACTTTGAAAATCAACGGTCGAACTGCTACCTAACGCCTATAAACAGCTTGTTTTAAGATGGATTTCTAGAAATTCTAGTGATGTCCCATGACTTTTGGGTCCAAACAAGTTGGGAATGAGGTGGATGACCATTGACCCCATAGGTTTAGATAGATTGCAAACCGACAGAGGTAAGAATAAGTGAAACATTTTATTTCAACTCATTAGCTTTATTGTAATGTGCTCGCCATGACACCTGATGGTTCTGTGATCAATCTTCAGTGGGATCTTACATGCTCACGAAAGCGGACGAAACAACTGTCTAATGTTCCCAGATTTCAAATGATTTCCAGAATGATATCAATGCATGATGACTATTTTAAAATCTCTAAATACCTACAAATCAATTGCTGATTATATATATATATATATATATATATATATATATATATATATATATATATATATATATATATATATATATATTGTTTTATTATTTTCCCCTTGGGTTCCTAGTCGAACATAGAGCTTCAGTCGCACGTCTCCGTTTCACTCTCTTCTATACAGTCTTCTGAACCTCGCTCCATGACTGTCCACAAGCTTTCATTTCCTCCTCACACCATCTCCTCCATGTCACCCTCACCTCGGACACCCAACTCAACGGTTCCTCTTTAGGTTCCACTCGACGGCCTGACCTCACCTGACCTCACCTGACCTTACCTGGCCTGACCTGACACGTGATGTCCCCAAACTGTCTTCTCAGTCAGTGTATGCCCAATCCAATCCTTCCACACTCCCTTCTTCTGCATATTTGTTGGACGATAGGTTGTTGCTTCGTTGGTTCGTTTGCAGTCAGAGTGAGTTCCTCCTTGCTCATTCTTATAATTCTGGCCATATGATCTCCATCTTCAGCATCGAGTGAGTGAGTGAGTGTAGGTGGCAGCTGTTGATGAATGTGTGTAGTGTGTTGGAAATGCTTTTTGTGACTCGCCAAGTTTCTCAACCATATAGAAGCTTGATTTGGCTGACACTTGTGTTCACGTTTTATGCTGAGTGCAGTAGATCTCGACACTGGTTTCAGGTTAATGAAGGCCAGTCTTGGTGTCTTTCCGATCCTGGCTGCCTTCGACGTCCTCATCTGTGCCGCCGTCGCTGCTGCCGCTGCCGCTGCCACTGCCGCCTGTAGTTGAAACGATGGTGCCCTGCCTAGGTAGGTGTAGGTGTAGGTGTAGACGAGAGACTACTTCATTTAGGTTTCTCCCATTCATGGTGATTGGTGCTTGTTGTCCAGTGTTTTATACATTGTATTCAGTTCTTCTTTCGTTGTGCATCCTTGCACTGGTTCATCTTCTGCGTCACCATCAGCAGCTTCACCACCTCTATCAGCTTCCATGTGTCCGTTGAGATCCAATCCTTGTCTTGTTTCTTCTTCCTTCCTAACATGGTCATGCAGGTTTCCTTGCACATAGCTTTCAAAGAGTTCCTGTGTTCTTCCACGCCTGATCCTTCGGGGATGCTGCTCAACGTCTCCCATTTTGTTCTGATGGCTGACGTGAAGATGTCGTTTGTAGTTCCTCTTTTCAATTCAGTTTCTGTTCTGGGTATTCAACTTCAACTGTGGTTTATCATCACCAGGTTATTTGAAGGCTTTTGACTTGATTTTGTAGGTGTCTTCCTTGCACTAGATAGTAGTGTGAGTGATGTGAACCTACATCTGCTCCCCTTCTTGATCTAATCTTGTGTCAAGTAGGTTGACTGCGTTTCCACTTTCTTCACATTGAGATGAAGTCGATCTGATACCTATATACATCAAATCTGGTCAATTGGTTCCTAATCTTTTAGCTTGCCTCATCAACCTTTTCCTGGTTTCCTTAAGTAGTCGAACAGATGCATTTTCGTGAATTATATATGTTACACATTATGTGGCAATTTTTCATATTGTGTTTTCCTAATAAACATTATATTTCTTCATCAAAAAGATAATGTTGACACGTACTGCCTATATGTGACAGTTTTATCATAGTTTAAAATGAGACAAAACGATTTTGTCCAACTTGTAATTAGGCTGACCATGGAATGGCAGGATTTATATTTGTTTTTTTTCTTGTTTTTGTCTTTTTGCACGACTGATACATTCTTTATAGTGATTTCAATTATTTTTTTCGCCCACCCATTTTCTCTTCTCTCTTATTTCAGGATAACGTTGGATTTAGTGTAAACTTAGCCGTGACTCATTCAGGGATATGTGTTTATCAAGGAAGCGTGAGGACCAACATGTTTTCATGGGCTCGAATAAGAAAATTAAGTTTTAAACGAAAAAATTTCTTCATAAAAGTACATCCTGAAGGCTGTGTGAGTCATTTTTACATATTGTTGATGTCATTATCTTTACACAATACCTAACACTAATAGAAACAGATATGTAGATAAAAGTAACAACTCGGAGAACATTTCAAAGTAGCTAACAGCTGAATTATTACACTGTTCATCTTAAAGTTTCATGAATATTGTCTGAACATCCTTGTGTCATTTAATACACCCATCTTAGCATTTTGATATTCAACCTAATTGATTCATACCTGTAGTCTACCAGACAGTAACTATCATCGCAGTCAGCTACGGCTTATTGGTTTAGGGAGATGACCTTCAATCAACGGGTGACTGGTTCGAGCCCTGCTCTACCTATCGAGTTTTGGATAGCCGGTTAGTAACACTAGGCATCACATACTAGATGTAGTTCATTGCCTTATGCATGAATTCTCACTAGGTTCTTAAGTGCACTTCGATTCGACTCGGTTCGAGAGTTAGACCAAATCAATTTGAGCATAAAAATTTAACAACAATTATGTGAAACATGTGATGTATTAGCGTTATACATTCCGAACAATCTGATCACACATGGACTTGTCGGACTATTTATGTGAAAATTTACGAAAAGGTCAATGAAGTTAGTAGGAAGCATAGAATAGGAAGGGATAGAAAAAAGGAAAACCTTATTCTTGGTATGAAAACTAAAATCAATACTACCAAGGTAGGTTCAACGTGAGTACGAATTGTTTTTGTAACATAAAAGGGGTTTAAATTTACGGATGGCAAGAGCCTCAATAAATTTAAGCACCCGGCTCTGACCACTTTTATGTAGTACTTCAAAGGCTGTTTTCATGTCTATCCTATGGTTAGTTTCTAGTATATGTTTAGCGATAGGCGAAGATGGATGTTTGTCACCTGCACTCTGACACAACTCTGACACAGAATGGATACCCGTTGAGATTTGTCGACTGGTGCAAAAGTTATGTACCACTGAAAAGTACACAGTGTTCCGTTGCTAAGATAAATGTCTACATCTCATTACCATTTAGAGGTGATTCACATAGCTTTGTTGTGAGGACAAGACTTAGATCGGCCACCTGTAAAACGTATTATACAGCTAAGGTCATCATTGTAGAGAAGACCAAGTCCATGTTACAGCACAAACCGAAACAACATATAAACGATTACATCACATCACATCACTGTGTTTATCAATTTACATGTATGTGTGGACACATATATAAGGAGGAGTAATCGTGATATGCAGCTAAGGAAGGTTGAACATGTACCTAAGTAGCTACAAAAACAAATGACCTCAACAGATCTGATAAGTGCAGGTGACAAACATCCATCTTCGCCTATCGCTAAACATATACTAGAAACTAACCATAGGATAGACATGAAAACAGCCTTTGAAGTACTACATAAAAGTGGTCAGAGCCGGGTGCTTAAATTTATTGAGGCTCTTGCCATCCGTAAATTTAAACCCCTTTTATGTTTACAAAAACAATTCGTACTCACGTTGAACCTACCTTGGTAGTATTGATTTTAGTTTTCATACCAAGAATAAGGTTTTCCTTTTTTTCTATCCCTTCCTATTCCTATGCTTCCTACTAACTTCATTGACCTTTTTCGTAAATTTTCACATAAATAGTCCGACAAGTCCATGTGTGATCAGATTGTTCGGAATGTATAACGCTAATACATCACATGGAGGAATTCTACAGACAACTGCAATCAACACTGGACAAGACCTCAGTTGGCGATACCAAAATTCTAATGGGCGACATGAATGCCAAACTGGGAGGGGACAACATAGGAAGAGAACTAACCATGGGTCGAGACGCGCTCGGTGAGGTGATGAACGAGAATGGAGAATTGTTTGCAGAATTCTGCGCATTCAACGATTTGGTGATTGCAGTGAGGCAGTGTGTTCAAGCACAAGGATATCCACAAAGCGACATGGATATCACCAGATGGACACACTAAAAATCAGATCGACTTTATCTCAATCTCAAGAAAATCGAGACGCAGTCTACCTGACACAAGGTCAAGAAGAGGAGCAGATGTAGGTTCAGACCACTCACCATCTAGTGCAAGGAACCTTCCAAATCAAGTTAAAAGCCTTCAAGGAAGCTGGTGATAGACCTCAATTCAAGTACAACACTCGGAAACTGAAGGATGAAACTACAAAGGAGATCTTCACTTCAGCCATCAAGACAAAATGGGAGACATCGAGGAACATCCTGAAGAAACCTGTGTGGAAGAACACTGGAAGTCTTTGAAAGCTATGTGGAAAGAAACCTGCACAGCCGTATTAGGAAGGAAGAAGAAAGAAGACAAGGAATGGATCTCGACGGATACCTGGAAGCTGATAGAGGAGAGGAGAATGGTGAAGCAGAAGATAAACCAGTGTAAGGATGCTCAACGACAGGAAGAACTAAGCACAATGTATAAAACACTGGACAAAGAAGTAAAGAAGAGTGCACGCAAAGACAAAAGACACTTCTACGACACACTGGCAAGTGAAGTAGAACAGGCTGCAGGTAGGAGAGACAGAGACCTGACGACATTGTATCAAATAACCAGGTTGCTATTCGGGAAGAGATCAACACAGATGAGACCAATAAAAGATGATGACGGAAATTTAATTACGAAAGAAGAGAAACAAAGGAAACAATAGGCCGACCACTTCAAAAAGCTCTTGAATCGACCACCACCACCACCTGCACTTCGTCCAGAAATACCACCTGCAGCCGCTGAATTACAAGTTAACATAAATCCTCCAACAAAAGTGGAAGTCCTGAACGCCATAAAGCTACTGAAATGTGGGAAAGCAGCAGGACCAGACGGGATACCGCCAGAGGCACTGAGAACAGATGCAGAGACGACAGCAGACATGCTCACACCACTATTGCAGAAGGTGTGGAAGGAAGAGAAGGTACCTGCTCATTGATTGAAAGAAGGGTTACCTTGTCAAACTGCCGAAGAAAGGAGACCTCAGTGTTTGCAAGAACTGGCGCGGAATCACTCTCCTGTCCACCCAATGCAAGCAAAATACTAAGCCGCATTATCCTGGAGAGGCTAAAGGATGCACTGGATTCAAAACTATGACCCGAACAGGCTGGCTGGCTGCAGGAAGTACAAATCATGTGCCGACCAAATTGCAACGCTTCGCATCATCATAGAACAGCGCATAGAATGGCAATCAGCTCTCCACCTCAACTTCATCGACTTTGAGAAGGCCTTTGACAGCGTCAACCGAGAAGTAATTTGGAAACTGCTTCACTACTACGGAGTACCGCAAACCTTTATCCGCCTCATTCAACAACTATATGAAGATGCCACATGCAAAGTAATTCACAATGGGAAGCTCAGTGATGCCTTCGAGGTGAAGTGAGGACAGGAGTGAAACAGGGTTGCCTACTATCCCCCATGATATTCCTGATTGTGGTGGACTGGATCATGAAGCAAACAGTGGGGAGCGAGAAGAAGGGGATACACTGGACTGCGGAAAAGAACCAAAAGACTTGGATTTCGGAGACATTCATCAACAACTGCTTACGCTGACTCGTTACTGAAGATCAGATGGCCAGAAAGAATAAGCAACAAGGTGCTTTGGGAACGAACCAACAAAGAACCTATCACGCAACAAATATGCAGGAGGAAGTGGAGATGGATTGGCCATGCACTGAGAAGGCCGAGTGAGGACATCACGCATCAGGCCCTCGAGTGGAATCCCCAGGGGAAGCGACGAGTTGGACGTCCGAGGGTGACATGGAGGAGGTCGTGCGAGGAGGAAATGAGAGCTTGTGGGCTGTCGTGGAACCAGGTTCAAAAGATCTCAGAGAACAGAGGTCACTGGAGGCGTGCTACTGAAGCCATATGTTCCACTAGGAACCCAAGGGACTAATAATAATAATAATACATCACATGTTTCAGATAATCTTCGTCTTGTCATTACGCTGTTTAAATTTATCAAAGGGACCAGTTGCTTTAAACAATTATCTACTTGAAACATCAAAGTAATGAATTCCCTTTTGAATGACAGTTTAATATATATATATATATATATATATATATATATATATATATATATATATAATACTTTGCATGTCTGGACAATATATTCCTGAAAAGTTAATGAAGCTGAAACAGTCACTTCAGTGACTACTAGGTATTTCAAAGCAATCTATTAATTGCCATAAGCTCTTCAAAAAGACATTAGGCTTTATTAAGAAGTCCTACAGAAACACAAGTAAGTACCATCGTGTTATATGTTGAATTCAGACTTCTGATTATTTGAAAAACATAAGTTGTATCAAAAATAAAAGATGATTCTTATCTCCTTACAGTATTTCCACCTTCCAGTTATCTTTGAAGTTTACATCTAGACAACATTATCCCTTAAATATTTGCATCAAAAATGATAAACATATTTGCAGAATAAAATAAATCTATTTTGTCGCATAATTACAATAAACTTTACAAAAAATAGTCCGCAACATAGATGGTTATTCAGAAAGAGCTTGATGAATTGGAGAAAAGTGACCATTTGTTTGAAACATTTACATGGTAAAAAAGCTCTCATTTTCTGATGCAAAGAAATGCCTTGAGCAGTCATCGTAATTAATGCATGTGAGTTCACATCCTGAATGAGATAATCCTTCTGTAAATGAAGAAAATGAACAATGCATATGATGGTCAATTTAAAAATTTGTTGCAACTGCCATTCAAAATTCACATTAACAGTTGTTGCATCTGAGTAGTTTTTCAACTGGTATCCCGTAATATCGACAGAATTTCTGTTGCGAACTATTCATTTAATATAATTGTTTTCGATTTCTGTCATAAAAGTATTATGCTACAACGAGATACTCTTCTGAATAGCGTGCAAAACGATTTACAGATTTCGTTAGTTAGAGCGGAGTGATAAGACTTTTTCATGGCTGTTTAGCATGTCCATAACCGAGCACTACTAGTGACCCACTAATATAAACCCAGTTGATTGGATTCAGTTGATTTTCACAACTTGGCTACTATGTGAGCTGAATTTGTTCATAAACACCATGGATGAAGTGAGAACCAAATAGTCATTTAGTTTCGAAGAGGTTAAAATATCCGGTCAGTCAGTTTACAAATTAAGTGTGTATTCATCATGAGCTGAAATTAGTTGTAAAATGACTGAAAACCTCAGCAGGATATGACCTTGACCCCGTCAGGGATTGAAGCCAGGATCTTCGGGTTTTACGACAAACAGTTAACCATTGAGCCACTGGGTTGGAACTGAGTGGTTCATATTTCCCCACTCCTGTCAATTCTCGATATAGTATGACCTTCGTCCAATACCATCCTTCAGCATTCGTCATTACCTACGACTTTATTTGCCTCACCTGTCATGATTCCTCATCAGAGCTTCATGAAATGCTCATCTAATGGTGTGTCACAAATGAGTACTAGACATTAATGTAATTCGGAGGTTCGTTGGGATTTACTGGTTTCAAGGTGGAATTTATCATGTTTTTAGGGTTACCCTACTCCTGTAGCGAAATATGTAGATCACCAAAGCATTTCTAAAGTGTGAAACAAGTATTCACTTTAAGTAACAATGCGTGTGTCAATTAAGCAGATGTGAGTAATGCAGTAAAGTTCAGTTGGGAGAATGAACCTTAACAAGAAATCTGTTGAAATTTGCTGTAAATCAACCTCACTATGAACAACCTATACATACTGTTATCCTCTCGTAGCTTTCCCTCCATAATTCTCATCACCATTATTCTAGTAGTTTACGTGAATCAACACTTCAGACCTACAACGGTTTAACTCACATATTTCCTTGTTAGACCAACTTAGATTTATGCCAACACCTTATAATCACAATGAAATTCAAGAAGTCAAAGAAGAAAGAATTCTAGCATCTTACAAAAAAAGTATTGTAAATTTTAGATTTACTTTTTTAAATTTCAAAATCTCACTTTGTTCCACTACAATCATATAATACACATGTATGACATATTTTCACAGTATTGTTTTTATATAAAAAGTGGAGTAGTGAGGGAAACGAGAAGACGGAGATGAAGGAAGGAATGTTTATTACTAACATCTGGTACAGTAATCATGATATATGATGCACCTTGCACTAAGACCGTCACTTGCATAATGTACTTCATTTCCTTCTTTGCTTCTATACTGATTTGCTCTTAATACGCCCGCGTTGTCTATTGAGTTTCTCCGGGGAAAATCCCAACCAATTCCTCGTAATTCCCTATGGTTTCTGCCTCCCTCTCAACACATACTACTTATATCCATTCTGATGACCAGTGCCCACTACAGTATGACCCAGAAAATGTAAATTCAGTCAGCGGGATATTGTTTCTTTAAACGTCCATGGGTATCTGCCGATCGCCATGAAACTAATATTTACCAAAGTGTGCCACGATAGTAAGCTTCCTAGTTTGGTGGCCACATTGCAAAATGATCCATGGAATTTGGTAAGCACTCCGGTCAAAATAGCATGAAATTAGTTGCTTTCCAGTGACAAATCAATCCATCTAACTTTATAGTACAGGAGGTCAGTCGCAGCTCGGATAACTCAGTGGTAACACTGCTGATTACAGCACTGGGTGACACTGGCTTGACTCTCATATAGGATATCAGTTCCCTCAAGGCTGCAGATACTCCTTGCTGACGAGTGTCAATAAGCGCGAAACCTAGGTTGAGCAGGAATTTCTTCTGATTACCTCTAACTAGCTACCATCCATCCAAGCGCACCGCGATGCTGAGCCTCCTAGTTTGGTGTCCACATTCCAAAATAATCTATGGAATTCGATCAGCACTTAGTTCTAGACAGTATGAAATTTGTTGCTATTCAGTTACTAATCAATGTAAATTGAAAATGTGTTAAGTTTAGTTATGAAACTCACCACCTTTAACAATCACAGTGAACATTTTAACTTTTAGGCATTAGGCGTTCTACCAATTGCTAACGTTCTAAACGCTATCTAACTTACGGATAATACACCTTGAATACTTAGGGAAATATACAAATAGAGTTATAGAAATTTATTAAAGGGACTAATTGTTTCAGAAGTTGTTGTTGTTTAATTCTTTGCTAATGCTATCAAAGCGTTTATTGAGAACCTGAATGGACATCGTAGTATCAAGTGATTGATAATTTAAGGTACACAAAAGATTCAACCGTTAACCTTTTTAAATAATTCTTTGTCGACATCTGGTGTACTAAGTCTTTTCTCATATTTATATATTTTTATAACAGTGCATAACCACTTAATGTTCGTCTTCTTCGTGTTGGGATTTTCATGTCATCCTAGCACTATAACATTTATTTTTCTATTGTCTGATATCTGTAGTTTCCGTTACCATCTGTCAATATTTATATATTTTATTTACCACACACTTGAATAAAAAATAAATAAATTTGAAAGCCTCTAAATATTATTTTAGGATGCTATTGGATTCTCATTTGGTACAAGAAATGAATGTAAAAGTTTTTGGAAACAGTGTATTGAACACCATGCATTTTTTCGTTGTCAAGCTGTTAGAAATGTCGGGCGAAAAAGTCGTGTTGTTTCTAAAGGCTCATCGTTTAGGTATGTTTTATGCTTTTTTTAAATTTACTATGTTAAAATGTACGCTAAGACTGCACTCGAAGCTACAATGTATTAAAGTGAATAAAAACTTTTATTTTCAATATTCCATACTAATGCCTTTTCAGCCTTAGAAACTAATAGAGATAAGTGACTGTATATCTTCCAAAGTAATGAATCGTTTGACGCTAACGTACAGACTAAAAATTCAGTGTCTTGCGAACATAGTCTATCTGAAAATTGTCCTTCTCTTCTCCCTGTTTAAGTTAGTGAATTTCCGAATCCACATTAGCACTTCATTGTACTTATTTGCGGATATAGTTTATTTCTTCGATATTTATCTCTTTCAAAAACAGAAATATGATTCCCAGCACAAATATGTCGTTTTACAACCCTGCTAAAAAACATATTGAAACTTGTCACTACCTTTCCCTGATTCATTTACAAAAATGAGGTTGTTTACATGAAATTTAAAGTAAACAATACAAAATAATCTATGCGATATCATATTATTATTTTTCCCTTGGGTTCCTAGTGAAACATAGTTGCACGTCCCCATGAAGTCTTTTTAACCTCGCTCCATGACTGTCCACAAGCTTTCATTTCTTCCTCACACCATCTACTCCATGTCACCCTCACCTCGGACACCCAACTCATCGGTTCCTCTTTAGGTTCCACTCGACGGCCTGACCTCACCTGACCTCACCTTACCTGGCCTGGCCTGACACGTGGTGTCCCCAAACTGTCTTCTCAGTCAGTGTATGCCCAATCCAATCCTTCCACACTCCCTTCTTCTGCATATTTGTTGGACGATAGGTTGTTGCTTCGTTGGTTCGTTTGCAGTCAGAGTGAGTTCCTCCTTGCTCATTCTTATAATTCTGGCCATATGATCTCCATCTTCAGCATCGAGTGAGTGAGTGAGTGTAGGTGGCAGCTGTTGATGAATGTGTGTAGTGTGTTGGAAATGCTTTTTGTGACTCGCCAAGTTTCTCAACCATATAGAAGCTTGATTTGGCTGACACTTGTGTTCACGTTTTATGCTGAGTGCAGTAGATCTCGACACTGGTTTCAGGTTAATGAAGGCCAGTCTTGGTGTCTTTCCTATCCCGTTTCTGACATCTTCATGTGTGCCCTGTGTAGTTGAAAGTATGCTGCCCTGCCTAGGTAGGTGTAGGTGTAGGTGTAGACGAGAGACTACTTCATTTAGGTTTCTCCCATTCACGGTGGTCGGTGCTTGTTATTGTTGTTGTTGGTGGTGGTTGGGTATCATCTTCATCACCTCTGTCTTCTCTACATTCGCTTGAAGTCTCGTTTTCGCTGCCTCTTCTGTCAACTTGTTTGTTTTCGCCAGTAGATCTTCCAGTGTGTATGACTGCGATATCATATACTGTATGAAATTAGTGTTCAAAAGGAATTGAAAAGGAACAATGTCACTAAAACTGTTGAATTGCTTTCGCTTATTAGTAAATGAAATACCACCCCGTTACTTAAGAAACTTGTTCGGTTTGTTTGAATCATTTCAAGTTCCAATCTGTGATTTTAAGTCACAAGAAAGGTGAAATTTAACTCCTGGTCAAGTTATTTGCCACTTAACGACCTTGGAAGTGTATATTTTTAATTTTTATAAGCTTGCCTTATTCTAATAGTGAGCTCAGTTATGTATTATGTCTTCCACTAAACATGGAACGTAGAACTATTATTTTTTAAAATAGGAAGTGTAAGAGTATGTTTAGATTGAGTTATTTATACACACGAAATCTCCGAGTCTTGAAATAATAGAGACTATTTTTCTCTCATGATTTCGACGATAATTTTTCGGTACCCCATTAGAGTTCATTCTCGTTAAATGCTCGTTTCATCAAATAATAAGATGATTTCATCAATACTAGATCTTTGTATGAGTGAAACTTCAACAATACTCATATTAAAAGAAAGTGCAACTTTTTGATGTTGGATTGAATCTATGTGGGAAGTGTAACGATTTTGAGATTTATTTACTTGTATTTGGTGGTGAATCTTGTCACAAGTTGACTTTTTGACCTTGACTCACAACAAATCAGGCATAAGTAATAAGCATTTTGACACTAACTATGTGACCTTCGCTCATAAACTTAGGTTCAATTATTGACATCGCGGATAAATATCAGCTGTTTGGTAATCACTTGATGTTGTCTAGGTAATCTATAAGTTGGAACTGTTTGAGTGGTCCTGTAAACAATAACTTCTATCAAAAAACTAGCTGCTTCTCCGGATTTACTGGCAGATTTCCACCCTGTGAGTTGTAGATTATTCACATTGTCTCAGTAGAAGTTGCAGTCATGTTTCTTCCCATGTATTTTAAACAATGATGACACACTATGACGTTCGACTGTGTATGATTTCTCTGGCATCTCTGATTTGTCATACGAACCGAATAGTGAAGCTGATGGCCCTAATAGTTGATTGTGTAGATTCTATTTGTCCGTTTGTACGAGACAATTTTTAGTTTGTATGCTTCATGATGACGAAATGATACAGTAGTTGATGAATATTTTCTAAGATATCATTGATACGCGACAAGGTATTGTTTCTACATTGGGATGACAGTAAATTAACCGTTTTCTGTTATCTTAATGACAAATACTAGTAGTTAAAGTGGCCTATGTAGTCATTAGATTTGCACACACACATACACTGCAAAGGTAGTTCTCTACTGGTTTCCCAACTACCTGAAAGCTGTAATGATTAGCGTAAAATGAAAAATATTTTTTTAGACAGTCTATCTGATGAGATCTTTGGTCGTAAATGTTATCTTTATGTTATCCTTTTTATACGATTCCCTTGCGAGATCCTATCATGTGTTCTGCCGATATGATTAACTTGGAATGTGACTTTACAATCTGGTTCCTTGGTTTTTGTAAATTCAGTACATTCATTTATGAAATTGAGAAAGTTAAGAGATTTCCTTACATGACCGAAATATTACAAAAATGCTGCCCATACAGCAAATTTAAACGTAAGGTTCAGTATTGCTTTGTTTTCTTCATCACCACCTTAGTGATCCTCCTTGACATTTATGAGTTTATGACAGTTCCTTTAGATCAAAAAATAATCTCTTAGCAGAAGTGCAAGAAGGTCATATGACAAAGTTCTATTATAACTGATTGATTTTCTTTGCTAGGTAAATGCTAATGAAGCAGCTTTATCTGATAATGAAACGTCTAAGACCAAACTTCAAAGAACATCAAACAATTACCATCCTCATCCTGTGCTACAGATCTCTTGCCAGTTCTGATAAACTTCCTGTAATTGTTTTTCTAGACTTACACGATTTTAGTCATCACTAAGGGGGACATTTATTGTGTTCTTTTAGGTCTCAGTTGATTATTGAGAATCACAGTTGCAGAGAAAGAAACTGTTTCCTCATTGTCATTGGACCTAAGATAAATTTCCTCCCAAAACTAATTTTTCGAATTTGCTGGATATTGACTCTTATTGACAAAAGGCTCTAGTTTCCTACATGTTTTCTGGACGACCTGAATGAGGTTCAGATGATGGAACTGTTAGTTGTAATTGATTTCGTAGCAGTTTTTACACTCTGATGTATTCATATGGATGTCAACACTATTCAGTTTTATGTTCTAGATTGCAACCAAATGGTTAAGATACTGAAGGAATACTAGGTGTACATAAATGATCAGCACAACTCAGTAATTTGACTCAGTTTGTTGAGAACTTCATATTTTCAAAGTTCAGCTCTAAAACAGTACATCTATTGTGGTTCATTTTAAATAACCCAGCCGTGAAAACAGCTATATTGTGGTAAAGAGAAATATGAATTATTGTTTGAAGAAGTGAACCATATCTTGAAATATAAATCTATCCTACATTTAGTCCTTAAGAAAAATTTGGTTGAATTAAACCTTAGTGACAGCAAATCCACTTTCAAATATACACTGACCCATCAGAATCAAGAATATAAAAGACAAAGTACTTATTAAGGGGAACGGTTTTTTATTTACAATTTATTAATGTTTTACTTGGGAAATAAAAGTATTTAGATTGTTAATAGGTTTATCATCTCTGAAACCATACTATTGTCTGCAATGCCACTAATTCGCACAAGACGATATCACTTGAATGATACTGGGAGAATTTCCCCTCATGATACTATTAAAGGTCTTAAGAACTGTCAAAGACGACTCCATATATTTTCAAATTTATTTGCACTCCATTTGTCCAATCTACGAAGTTCTTTTTGTGAATAATAGCTTAATAAGGGTAGCCTATTTCAGATAAAGGCATATATGAATTCCAAGCGTCTGTGTATATTATGATTCACAATGCAATGTATTTTCGCAAAACTGCTAGGATAGATTTATCTGATTTTTCCTTCATCCAATAAAAATGCCCTTTTTCGTATTCTGGTCGTATATACCAAGAATCTGTAGACTGCCAAGACAAATGTATGTATACTTACATTGGGCAAGTTATAACCTACTGAGTCCTGTTTCGGTCACCTTTCTGGGTAAGAAATTTATCTATTAAAACCACATTACCTACTGTACCATTTTCTGAATGACATATCCGTCTATTGTTTAATTTACTTTTCAGATATATGGGTAGAACACAAAAGCAGTTAACAGATTTCATACGTGAAAATTACATAAAAATGCCTAATTTTGAGCGGTAAGTTCAATTCATCTGAAAAGTGCATAGTATATTTTGAGGCATTTATTATAATTTTGTCTTTCTACTTCTCATCAACACATTTCACGGGCTTTTGTTTAGTTTACGTCATAGTCTTAGTGTAAATAAGCCTGTTAATCAAATAGTTCTGACTTAGACTGATTAGTGGTCATACTGAAAAATTGACCACAGTCAGTAGTGAGCACTCATGAGTCGGCTGCTTCATCGGTAACCACTCGATGAATAAGTTATGTAAACGCTTAATTTCTAAGTGAGGTTAGTTGTAACCTGATGAGATCATCTCTAAAGTCTTTAAGTTCAGTAGTGAATAATGCAGGTTTAGATCCTTGGCGGAACACCAGTTTTCTCATGATTAGAGGCACTTGGTGGACGAACGCAAAAAAGCAGGAAATTCGAGCTCAGGGATTCCCGCAGAATGGCTCTCAAAGTGTCACATCATAACCTATTTATTTATCAACCTTTTCATAAGTTTTCGGTATTCTAAAACATACGTTTACACAGGAATGTAATAATGGTAGCTGTTTTATTTTCTCCATGCAAAGGTTTTCATAAATAACCGGAGACGAACCGACTAAGCAGATTCCATATTATTTAGTGCTTTCAGGAATGCATGACAAAAGTAGATTAGGATTGCTTTCAAAACTACACAAAAAATGTCATAAATAGAAAATTATATTGAAAAGTTGACCAACCAAGGTGTGTGTTAAATAAACCCATTCGATACGCTAGTTGGTCACTACAGAACTACTAATTGCTTATTTACCACCGAGACAACTTTGGATTCACCGATTGCATAGAGAATACTAATGTTTCTCACAAGTGTGCCTATTGTCTAGTCCTAAGTTCTGATCAAATTCTATCAATCATGTTGTAATGTCATTACCAGACTAGGAGACTTTGATTGATGCTAGACGGTTGGAGGTAGTCGTCACGAAGCCCTGAACCTATGTTTCATGCTTATTAACACCCATCAACATGGTGCATCTGTAACTTGAAAGAAACTGATGTCTTCTCAGAGAATACAACCTGAACCAATCGGTGCTGCAGTTAAAGACGTCACCACTGACCTATTCAGGTCACGACTGACCTGTAGGATTGAACTAGATACACTAATTGATAACTTGGGAGCAACTGGTTTCATGGTCTTCTAGCCTGGTTGCCACATTACAAAAAGATCGATGGAATTCGGTTATCATTCAGGACTGAAAACTATGAGATTAGTTACTCTTGCACCAGGTGGCATGGGTTCGACTTTCTGAGGGGGCTTTAGTTCCTTGGAAGTTGCGGATACAGCTTGCTGATCGGTATCAACAAGCATGAAACGTAGGTGCAGAGATTGATGCCGATTACCTCCAACTACCTAACACCACTTTCACTTAAAAAAATATGGCCTTATCTGGGAAAGAATTGACAGTAATTCTACTGGGAATCTAACTCTTACTTTAGTCGTCTAGTTTAGTAATATTTCGTTGCTTATGTAACTGCAATGCGCAGGAAGTAGTCACTTATTACTCAGGGATCCCACTGTCAATGGATTTTTGACCAGAACTATTTAGGCGTTGCATTTGTAGTGTGGTCTCTACAAAAGGCTGATTCGAACACCAAAGGATACAACGACAACCTGGATTTCTCTGTCTGATAAGCCATACTCAGTTTCGTGTGTTTTTTATCTACAATAAAATGTACTTCTCTCATATTTATTCATGGTATTTCTTTTGGTAATAACTTGCAGATAATTACTAAAAACATTTAATAACATGAGGCAAAACGTAACAATATTTTTTTCTCCCTTCTTTAACTTACTTTTTAGTACTTATCCAATTGTTTTCATCAACAATAACATTTTTTATTCGGTTTTTGTCACTAAACGACAAATGTTACATTCATTCCTACCAAAAATTCTAAACAAGTTTAATCTTAGATGAAACTCAATTTCCCATTAGTCCTAGATGCTCATTAAAATATGTTGACACTGTTATTAGACAGAAGGTGAAAATGGTTAACGATAGTGAAATATCGCATATTATCTCAGGATGAGTGCCTGACAGGCCAACCCAGTACAATACTTTGCAAAATAATTTATGTGAATCCTGGTTAAGATTTGACCGGATATTGGGTGACGAGTGAAAAGTTGACATTAGATTCAAGTTGTGTTTGTATACATCTCAGTGTATTTGAATTAAGTATTTTTAACACCTCACATAGAAGTCTGGTCCAAGCTTTTCAGAGAAATTTATTTACCTGAAGAAACGTTGGAGTTATTTATTTCAAATACCCTTATATGAATCAGAATAATGACTGTTTAGTTAGTAATTAGTCATATATCTATGGAATGACATTATTAACGAACGTATGAATTTAAAATCTTTTCACATTTCAAGAACAAGACTGTTTAGCTTTTAAATCTCGTAGTTAAGCTAAGATGAACTTCTGCATACTTTGCATACTTCTGAATAATTGTTGGTTGTGTTATCTGCGAAAGTCTTAACCAATAGGATTTTCTTAGTTTACACGTGTATTGACATGAACTTGGTAACTAGCAGAGGAATCCAGGACGCTTGTTTCGTCCCATTTGGGACACATCAACTGGATATGCCTGCACCCCAGTGAGTGAAGTTGTTCCCACTGAGGCCAGAACCCAGTACCCTACGCTTCAAAAGTCAGGGCACTATCCACCAAGCCACTGAGGCACGATGGCCACCTCTTGTTCAATGGGTATCAGTTGTTGTAATGATACTTGTAATTTCCCGTTCCCACACGGAGTTGAACTGCTCGACCTTTGTTGGTAGAAGGGCTCCTATACGGATGCCTCAATACTGCCAGATATTCATGATGTACACATACGTTGGTTGATATTTCTAATCAAATTAGATCCGCCCATTCTAGATATTTTTTTAATTCTTACAGTATACTACTGTCTACAACCTTTTTTTAGATAAATATAAAGAAAAACACACGTCATGTAAACAAAGTACTGTGGTTGGTTCTTGGTGTTCATCAGTCTCATGAAAGCCATTACTTCATAGTATAAATCTTACATCAGCTATTACACCTTAGAACAGGTGAAAATGTGGTGTGCGAGAAAATTATTTCTACTTACGCAATTTTGTGCATTTTCTGACTTTTGCTAGACTAGTATACAGGGACCATAATGAGTTACATATTTTTTATACTTCATTTTTTGAAGTTCATGCAAAGATGCATATGTTGTATGCTGTGTTGATTGACTGTTGAGAAAAAAAAGGGAAATTCAGCTAAGATATCATCTTAACGATTTCATTCTCCACAGCTGTATTGTCGCAATTTATACATTTTTTTGTTCCCCCATATTCGAAAGTTACAAGCATTATTAAATTAAACGTAGTAATAAAGAACAAGTTGGATTCAAATCAAGAATTCCCTAACGTGAATTAATCGCAAAAGAGTCTAGAAACTATAATAATTAACCGGATAGAATACACAGTTGCATAATATGTTTATGTATCCAGGTATGTAAGTAGCTCGATGCACGTTCTTTCCAAACAGATTACAGAACATTATTCGTCTGGCTGGACAGAGGTCTAAGTGGATCCATTAGAAATACAATCATTGTGCTCCTTTTTTAACATTGGTCACAGCATCACAGCTGATTTAGCGTTCAAAGTCGTCAAGGTGTAATAAATCTCAGGTTGATATTCATAAGGGGATGACACCAGTTTGATAAGCATTCGAAACCTGGAAGATGTATGGGACCCCTCAGCACTGCGCACCCATGACCGCACCAAGAATCCAACCTAGGGTCAATAATTGGCATCAAAGACATTATGACCACTAATACGCATAAAACAGCATGGAATTAGACAAAATACTCACCGTATGATGACTTCGATGTAGATATTTCCGTATTCTCAACATTCTCAAATCTTATGACTCGGTTCAGCTTAGCGAATTCGGACTTGTTACCGGTATCTAATACCTATGTACCTAGGTAGTCTACTAGCTAGCTACTACCAGATACTGATACTAGGTTCCCTATCTTGTGCTGTCTACCTACTACTATCGGTTTATCTTCTCAGTTTCTTCTAGCTGCTTACATCTGAAGTATAAAAGCGACACGAAAAGAGAAAATAAACTATGCTCAGAAGGCCTGTAGATCAAGTAACCATTCATTCATTGAAATTCGAAATCAGGAGGTATCTTTTTTAATTGTTGACGGTTTTCAAGCTGACTAATAACTCACAACATCCTCTTTTTTTGTTCAATACATCGTAGCTCTTATGGTTGCTAGATATTTTTATTCTGTTGGGGAATACAAGTAGATGAATTCACCACTTTCTGTTGATTTATACGCCAGTTGTGTGAACACCTACCTATTTGCTTTAATCACATCCTGAGTAGATATTTGCTTCACAAGATTGGATGTTCATGGTTAGAAATTCATCACTCTAAAGCTGAAGAATTTTTGATCTGCATTCAACTTGATCTTTGTTATCAGGTCTGATTAAATAATTTTTGTAACCCTCTAAAATGGTGGAATAAAAAGATGCAAATGGCGATTGTGCAGCTGTGGAGCATGAAATCGCCAAGAAAGTTATCTTAGCTGAATTTCTCCTTTTTTTAGTGTCATGATAGCTATTTTCAGTGGTTGATAAATATAACTATTCATGTTTGTTTATATAAGTATATCTAAATCTAATTTGTTTGGTAAATATTTTGTTTGACTTAATTTGTATATTTATGCTACTAGTTTATTTATTTTTGTGTAATATTCTTGTGATACTTATGCACGGCAAAAATATTGCTGGTATTCATGAATAGTGGTACTATTAACTCTAAAATAGAAATATACATTCGCCATTAATTGGAAAAATAGACCTTTATTACCGTAAGCAATGGGGAGACAATTACATGCAATAACTACCTTGTTCCCCTATCGCTGTGCACTTAATGGTGAACCTTGAATATTCACATTAAATAACAGTCAGTAGCTTTGCCACTTT